CGGCATTATGGATTAATCCCTCCTTCATACGTGAAAGCACAGAATCAAATTTATCAGATCCATTTGACCAGACATCAGCCGTGCAGCTTTATTCAAAGCCAAGGGAGACTACATTGAAAAAGCTATTAACATGATAATTGCGAGTGTGATACTCCGCTCTCATGCTGTGATGTTTAAAAATAACTGATGGTGACATGCGATCTGTCCCTCTTTCGAAAAACATAATTGATCTGATCATGTGATGGAGAGCTGTGTGACTGGGAAACGTTTAGTAGCATAACTTTTTCTGCTCTACTGAGTGACCTCAGTGAAGACCAGCCTGATGTAAATCCCACATCCTCCATGTTAAATGATGGGACATCAAAATACAGAGCAAAAAAAGGTTTTCTCAAAGTTGGTTTCCATTAGTTTAGAAAGTTCTTATCACACTGTTTGTTTTTCATTTTATATTATTATCTATACAAAAGGTTTGAAACATCATGATTGACAGTTGAGACTGACTCGTGATTGGTTAAGAGCATGTATCAGTGGGACCTTGCTACCATGGCTCCTTCCCCCAATCGCTACAGACTCTGGCTCAGAATGTGCAGGATGGCAGTTATTTGTATCCAGGTTATTTTGGTTATATTTTTGGATAGTGGGAAGATAGAGACGCATTGTCCAACATTGTTTTTTTGCTTTGTGGACCCCAGTGAAGACCAACTTAGCAGCCCGATTAATGGGTTGACAATGCAAAACTGCCCATTCATGTGTGACTAATAGGAGGGTTGATAATTCCGTTGTCTGTAGTACTCCGAGATTTGATTGGTGTGTTATTTTAAATGAGAATCTGCGAGTGAATGATTGAGTGCAGTCTTTTTAAAAGTTCAATTTGCATTTTCTAAGAGGTGAAGCACATAGACTGTCAGTCACCTGTGTTGAGCTTTCACTCAGAGCCACTGGCACTCACGGTTTCAGTAAATTGAAAAGAAATTGCCACATTCTGCAGCTCTCAGCCTTTGAAGTGTCTAGTGGAGGCAGCCACAGATGAATTGCACTGCTGCTGCTATTTATCTTCTGTAGAGGCATGATAACAGTTGGAGCAGCGGCAGGGTTCTGTGCCCCTATAGACCATATGAACAGATACTGAACTTTTTGTTTTCAAATGATAAAGCTAGACTTATTCATATTTCTAAATTAGCATGGCTTAAATGATGAGTTGTAATATGTGTTGTGATAGAATTGCTCATTGTCCACTACATGCTCAGTAGCAAACAGCACAAACACAGTCAGAGAGCAGCTGCTGGTTCAGACAAGAATTCTTTCACCTTTCACATATGAAGAACGCATATGTGAAAAGATTGTCCGAGTCAGAAGGTTCTCAACAACAGGAAAAAAACAAAACATTGAGGTGAGGGGTGGCAGGTAGGTACAGCCTGCAGGAGGCAGGACATAACTTATCCCGTTTTTGTTGACAGCACGTCAACACCACCGGCAGCCTATATGACAAAAAGCTCAGGGATCTCATTGTCTTATCAGGGTTACATCTTTGCCGGCGTCATCTACGTGTATGGCACCTCTTTTTCATTCTGAAAGTTTTAGAAACGTCCTCGGCATGCCTACTTGCATGGATGTGAATTTTCTGGACATCTTCCTGCTGTATTATTAAAAGTAGGACATCTGCGTTCTTATGAATAGCCCCTCCTGAACATTTCAGGAAAATGTCCAGAGATCATTGTAGCACCAGATATTTCCATCGTCAGATGGGGACCAAAAATAGAGCTAAAAGAAATGGAATGCTCAACTTGATCAGGTGGACACAAACACCACTCCACATGAACCGTGATGTTAACACACATAGGATCACCAAGCGGCTGTAGTTCATACTTTGGCATGAATCACAATATAATGCCACAAAATCTCTCACACACACACTCGCTTACCCCTGATGCCAGATCTACCCGTGTCCCCTGAGTACACAGAGCTGATGGAGCGGATTTAGTTTCAGACTTCCCCCTGCTGTTATGCAGAGCTCATACTGGGGGGGATCCTGCTGCTGGATTTTTGTTCCAGGTTATTTTCATCACATCCTCCATCCTGCTTGTGTTTATTAATAACATAGACGATAAGCAGTTGTTACCATGTCACTAATAAGAACAATAAGATACACTGTTTGTTAAGTTTATGTGACATGAAGCAGCATCCAGAGCAACTTAATTGATTCAGCAACAAACAGCCAGGTCAAATCATCCACTGCATTCTTGTAAAAGTTGTTGTCATCTTGAACACACTTGTGGTCAGTACAAACCTGTAGAAAGCCTCACACCCAGCATAGATATGTTTTAATACCAGCACTGATCTAGCCAGCTCCTTTCATTACAATCTAGGCACTGCATCTCAATCGCCACCGGACTGACTTCTGTATAGGGTATAAATCTCATCTCCTCCATGTTAGTAAATGGGAGTAAACATGGGCAAAACTCAGTTAAAATATACGTCAAAAATATTTTTTTCTCAACGATTTCTGTCATTTTAGGGAACTGTTATTGCAGAAATTTATGCTCAAGTGCACATTTTTCCTTTAGTTTAGTATTAATAAGTTATGCGATGCTGAAAAAATGAAACAGTGGAGAAACTCTGCCTACTGTTGCTTCCTGTGGAAAAAGCAAATAGCGGGCTGGTGTCGCGAGGAGTTCAACTTTGGCTACCTCAAGATATTTGCTTCGCATTATGCAAATGTATGACCAGGCCCTGATTCATGATTTGTCGAGAGCATATATCAGCGGGACCTTGGAAATGAGACTGTGCAGACTCTGGCTCCAAGTGCGCAAGATGGCAGTGTTCGTATCAGGGATACTTCTGAAATGCGTCGTCATCTTTCCATCTATGATTTAAACAAGCAAAATAAGTTTAACCAACAACAGCATGGTTTTTCTGTTAGCTATCAGCTTTTACCCCCACATCTAATAATCCATTTAACATACTGATATATGGTTTAAAATGCTGCTGGGTGCTCCCACTGAGCTCTAGCTATCGTACAGTAAGTGGCTGGTTATCAAAAGATGAGTGAGGGATATTTGCTTTCACTGATTCCTGCTGCTTATGTATTTATGTTGGATCTTATACAGCAGATGTTATTTTTGGACTGGCTTGTATGCGGCTTATTTTAAGGAGAAATGAAAGCAAGAGGAGACCTGTGGGAAACAGAAGGCTGAAAGCCAAAATTTGAAGTCAGAGAGTGTAATTCTTACAGTGCTGCGGAAAATCTGTCACAATATTTGATTTGCTGTATTGATCAGCCGACACAAAGGACATATCTGTCTTGTTCTGACTGCTCAGAGAGGATAAGAAAATGATTTTCTGTCTCAGAGCGTCTTCCAACTCTCAAACTCCCCTCTGAAGCGAGAGCTGAGAGTGGATTTAATGTGGTGAGGTGGTGATCAAAAAAGAAGCCGAGTATGGATTTGACCTTGTGACCTCTCATACTTTAGGGATTCTCAGGCAGAGCCCTCAGCTGTCTCCTAATCGGCCCTATAAATCTGAGGGCAACTGTCCCCTCCTGACCCCTCTTTTGTTTTCAGACAGCTCCTTGTCATCTTTAAAAGTCTCAGATAGAAAAGCTTTTAACAGCATTGAGAGGAATTCTTAGATTTTTCCTTATAGTATATTTTTGCCTAAGTGGGGTCGAGATGGATGAAGCAGGCAGAGGCAACAGCACAATCTCTTTCCCGTGTTTTGCATATACTTTGCTGAAATAAGTGCTCCTAACACTATCCAAGAGCACTCTGCCTAATTATGAAAGATATTTCTTGCCCTTTAAAAACTATATTGACCTGAACCTTAAATGACAGACTTTATTATGGTTCCCAGAATGGAGTCATGATCATTTTTATTCTGGTCCTCACTATGTGGCTCAGATAAAACCTCTCTGAAAAGATGGGCTTTGTTTTTTTAAAACCAGGTTGATATCAATGTAGGACCCAGAAAAAGAAAATATTATATGTTTAACATTAAAAAGAAAAATTCATAAAACAATTGGATTTATAAGCGGACTACGTTGATCTGGATCTTTCATGCACTGAACTGTGGACAATTTAAAAAAAAGAAGCTGAATGTCCAAATCAGTTGCTCTGAACATTTTCCTGAAGTTGTCCTGCAAACCCCTGAATAAAATGGAGAATGTCCAAGTTATTCGATGTGAGAAGTCTGGAAAAGGAAAATGTATTGCAAGTGAATGGGCGCAATGATAACGTTTCTAACACACAACAAACGCAAAACCGACATAACCTTCACAGTTTTTTTTATTTTAGAGCGCCAGTTACACATAAGATAAGACCAACTCTAGTGATTGTTCTCACACACACCAAGTGAAATAATCTCACCCTAACTCCACTTCAAAACATCCTCACATGCTAAAACAGGAAAGCGTCTATATTTAGCACGCTAACTTGCTTGTCTTCGTCCTGCGGGGTGTCTTTCAAACTGCTTTGTAAGTGTGGCACTTCAAAGGGAGACACACCTTCCTGTGCAGCAGCACATTTAGCTTTGGTCATTGTTGAAAAATGAGAGTTTGGATCAGAGAACAGGGAGCGCGGAGAGTATATAACTGTGTGATGAATGCAGGTTAGTATTTACAGGGTATCACTGGAATACCTCTCTTTAGATTTGATCTTTTCTTCTCTCAAGAAGGAACATAAACATAAATGCACAGAACATTGAAAATGCAGCTCATGTCACAAATGATGAATTTATCGATCCTCAGTAATTGTCTGCTGCCTGACAACAGATTCTGCTCTGTATGAACAGAGCTTTTCTAGTCTGTCTTTGGTTCAAACACACAACAAGACACTTTGAGAACTTGTCAAAGAGTAGTTCTCAGTAATGATCCGGCCCGGGGCAGTGGACTGTGGTCCTCAACATCATTATTTAAATGTTTGTGGAAGTTACAACATTAAAAGATCTGCAGCTTCAAATGTGAAAGGATGGAACCACTCTAACTGCTCTCTGTTGTTTCTTTACAGTCAATGTCTGGATGATGAGAGGGCTGTCAGGTAAGCATATTGATCCATCCATCCATCCATCCACAGACAGAACCTAAACAGCACACGTGACCTAGTGTCCTCTGCCCTTGTTCTCTCAGCAGCCGACAGCTTCACCACGGAGTCCACCCCACCCTGGCCGAAGAAGGCCTGCAACGAGTCCCGTCTGCAGTGGGAGGTGGAGTTCTGCGGGGAGAACTTCAAGCGTGACATGGCCCACATAGAACCACAGTACTGGTGTAACCTCACGTACTTCATCAGGTACGAACGGCATTACAGTTTGCGGCTTCATTTAATTATTAGTCATGCATCAGTGCGGGAGTGTATCCCATCTGTGTCTATAGAACTGTGAGGCGTGTTTTAGTGTCTTGTACACATTTTGATATGCTATAGTAGAGGCACTGGTGCAAATAATGAAATTAGTATCTGGAACTTAACAGAACCATTGTTAATGTTACCAGGGAGAGAGTTTTCTGTTTTAAAGTGCTGTCTGAATGTTTAGTGGGACTCGGCAGGTGGACTCTTAGTGGACTCTTAGAGCCTCATGCAAGAACATGTTTGAATTGTCATCCTAAATTTCTTTTACGTGTATGGTGAGATTGTACAAACATGCAACATCGAATTCAGCAAATACTTCATGCATGTTAATATTAAAGTTAATGCCGTTAAATGAGTCATAAAATCTGCATCTTATTTTTTTTATTTGACTCCACCTGCTTCTATGAGATTTGCTTTGGAGGAGGTCAGAGTGATACTGATCTGTTTAAAAAAAATCCTAATTGTCGTTGTATTGGTTCTTGGATTTCATTCTTAGTTGTTTGCATTTTGATTTTGTTATTTGTTAGTTCTTGTTTTTGCTTTGAAGCGTCTTTCCTTGTGTGTCTCTTTGTGTGGTTTCCCTCCTTGGTGATTGTCTGCACCTTCTCTAATGTGTATCACCTGAGTTCAATCATCTCCCTTGTATATAAAGTCTCTGTGCGCCTCACTCTGCTCTGTCCATTTCTTCTCTTGACATCCCCACACTTCCTTGTGCTTCAGTTTTACTTGTTGTTTGCTCCTTTTGCTTCTGTAGTGTTTTGAGTTTTGCTTGTTTGCCTGTCACCAGCCTGCTTCATCAAATTTGACACCATTCTCAAAATGCATTCTCAACACACCTTGCTCTGCATATTCAGCAAATTCAGTTTCATTTAGTGAAAATCTGACTTTAAGATCTTCATGACAGAAAAACCAGGATGGATGAACACAGATTTATCCAACTTCACTCTGCAGCATAGACTGTTTGTAAAAACTTCTGCACACAAACAATAAAAAGTGACAGTATATTGTAGATCTGTGTGAACAGGACTCACGAATGACAAGGAATCATTCTGAAGTAGCCCCCCAGCGTTTACACAGGCCACCATCGTGACAAAAGCATCAGAGAATTTCTTCCACTCACAGGATATTTGAGAAAAAATGAAACCTGTGCCCAGTGCAGCTTTATTTTGACAGTGATTGAAGTGTGAACTGATCAGGAACATGACAGGAAATGACACTGGAAGCAGCTACAGAGCAAACATGAGGCCAACTTTGAGAGAGACAAGACATGTGGACACTGAAAATCCATCCACATCATGGGCTCTTAACTTTATCTCCTGCTTTCTCAAGCACTGTTGTCTTCCTGTTTGACACATCTATATTTATAGTTTTAGTTAAAGGGGTCATCCCTCCAATAGGTTAAGAGGGAACTGTAATCCCTGTCAGCCCCATGCTGCTGGGGGAACAGCTGCGGCTGTGGTCACACAGCTGGGTGTAGCTGTTTTCAAGAAGCATCTGGGCTCTCGACCTCCCGACTGTTTCCATCTTAAGCTTTTATCCTCATTCCTCCTTCTCACCTCTGGCCTCCCATGCTCATTTCTTTTTTAATCTCTCCATTGACTGCAGAACCACAATGAGCAGGATAAGAGCCATGAGACCAGTTTCTTGCACTATAACATTCACATGGGAGATTCAAATCCACGTTTAAAATAACATCTGAGTCACAGATTTAGTGGAAAATTCTGTGATTCTGGGAAATGGAAGAATCACCTGATTCATCCTCTGGTCATGAACGAGCTGTGTTTTAGGTTTTTTTTGTTTTCCATCAGAGCTTCATGCTGCTTCCCAGCAACACACTGTTTCTTACTAATATGAGACACAGCTTCATTTGGTTTTGAACGTCATTACCTTTATCAAATAACATATTTATCTGTGTCAGCCAGACTCGATCAGATTTTGCTGCCAGGTGAAAGAAACCGCCCACTACTCATCAGCAAAGGCCCTGATTGGCTTAGCAAAGAAACTCTAATGGATCCCTGAGAATACACTGAGACGTGTTATGAAATGGGTCGGGCTGGAGTTCAGGTGGTTATATCACTGTTTGTGTCAGCAAATCATTTCTGCACAAATTTCATAATTTATCGCAAAACCATACAGAGTTTATACTGCTCAGCATGCCTCCATATGCCCTGACAGCTGACTCACTTACTCAATCCACTAGTTTCCTGTTTCGGGCCACATTGGATGCATGAGTGGCGTGTGAGCATCACGGAATGTCTTTTCATTTCGCCACCCATGTTATCAGGTTAGAGCGACTGGACTGCCCGAATGAGAGTCTGGGTGTCACAGATTTTCCCTACATACTGCGCAGTTCAACTAATAATTTATGTCAATCTCTCAAATGTCACAAACGCATAAATATACAGTATTCACACCAGAAACTTCATGTAGCAGCTCCACATCGCAGATAACACGCTCCCTGTGTGAACAACAGATGCAGCAGATCAGCGATGCAGCCGCCACACACTGCACATGCACCCAGTGTGGCCCAACTGTTATCCTGCACGCTGTCACTAAAATGACCAAGACTCAAAGCCGTCACTGCTCCTAACATAATGTTCTGTCCATTAGTTACCAGCACATGTTCATTTGCACCATCTCCCACAAACAGCTCAGCTGCCGACTACTGCAGTGACTCACTCTCACAATCGCCCTCAGGTTTAACTTGTGAAATAAGGGGTCTTTCCAGGGCTATCCCTCTCTTTTCTCTCTCTTTACACAGTATGAAATAAATCATTTATTCAGACGCACATCAAAACAACTCCCACAGATATTATGCAGCTAGAGCTACACTTGGAAGTCTGGCCTGAATATCTGCTCTTTTCTGACGCCACTCAGGGAAAGTCTTCCAAGTCCAGTTTGATTTTGGTCTTAGTGTTTGCCTGGCTAACGTCGGCTCAGCTTCCCTATGAAAATCTATAATATCTTTTAAAATAGGATTGAAAAAAAAAAAAATTGGACCAGAGAGCTGACATGTTTGTGATCAAGTGTGTGACTGTAGTTCAGTGCTCTGTCACTTTTCATGACATAACACAGGACTCATCAGGCCTATAAATGATTACCTGAGTGCAGGGTGGCTGGTGGAATGCTCTGTTTGTAGCGATATTCCAAGAAAGTGGATAAAGAAAATTTAAAATCAGAATCTGCTCTGTCAGTGATGTCTCAGATATAGACGATGAGAACATTTATCAGCAGGTTTCATCGTCTACAAACTCTGATGTTTTCATCCAGGTGTTTTGTGTACGATGGCTCATTCACACGTATGTGGAGGACACACTAAGGCTACATCCACACTACCAATCTAACATTACACTACCGCAGAGTTTGAGAGCTACTAAAACTGAGAAGATGTTTGAAAATGATGATGTAGACACTCTTAACTGCTTGCTGATTGGATGTACAGTACATAGTCTTCGCTAATTCGTCAGGCTCCTATCATGACCCACCTTTTGGAAGGAAACAACTATGGATATTAAACTACTAGTATTGCAGACCCTGTTGTTTTTGCTAACAGATGTTGTGCAGTTAAATTCTGCATTCTACAGTGATACAAGCGTAGACCATCATTAGAGTAATTCCAGTGCACACCGGCACACACATGCCCAGTGTATGTGAGTGGTCAAACGATTTGCAATCGTTTGACGACTATAGATGTAGCCTGAGCGTGCAGAGCGAGGGGCCACCAGCAGTGACCCCTGCGGCGCCCCCTCCTTCTGATAGCAGCTTCTTGGAACACAGAGAGGGGTGTATACAGACCACTCACTGAGTGTGTGTGTGTCATTTACACACTTCAATCATTTACGTCTAATAACATATTGATTTCCTGCCTGACTGACTGTTGTGCAGTCCCAAACAGGGAAACAGTGATGGGGCTAGTCAATCCTGGACCTTGTAATAATATATAATGCCATAATATATTTAGTGTTATGAATTGTGGTCGGTCCCTGTGTGGACCAGATGCTGCTCTGAAGACACATAATTGAACATTCAGATGAGCAAACTTTATGTTAAGTGGATTATGTGCTCCATACGATCTGTGTACGTCTGTGACACAAGTCGATAAAGAGCCAAATGAGCATAATTACATCTAATTCTGTTTGGAAATGCAGGGTTAGTTCCCCACAGACAATTTCTAATGAAGTGGTACCTGATAAGTTCACGTTGTGTTCTGTCTGACAACATAGGAAGAGTTATTTAAAGGGCTCATTATGCAGATAGTAATGTGATAGTGAATAGTGTATTGCACTTTGATTTATCTTATGTTTATTAAGAGGTCAAGTCCAAGCTATTTGACACATAGACTGTGTGACTGCTCCCCAAATATAAAGCCATAGTGTCCTGATGGCCTCCTGGTGGCTGGCTCCAGGATAGGTCATAAACCCCACCTCCTCCATGTTAGCAGATAAGACGTGGGCCAACCGACAGAGTCAAAGTACACATCAAATAAATGCACTTGTGCTGTGTTCCCTTAGCTTAGTACAGCATGAAGACTGGAAGCTGGCAGGAATGTTTCAAGGGACTTTGGGGGTCAGACACAGAGTTGTGTTCTTGAATATTTTCTTTGCTGGGAGCATGATACAAATGTGCTCAACATTTTTGAAATATTCTTTTGATTTTCATAATCTCCCACATGTAAAACTTAATTATTTTCAGATATCCTAGTTAACAGACTCAGTCTCAGAAGTTGAGCAAAAGAAAACCTGCCAATGGCCAGAAGCAGGATTGTCTTTGCGATTGTGTGTGTGTGGGTGTGTGTGTGGGTGTAGGCTCTAGGCTCAGACACATATTTACACCAGTTAATGTCAACATGGGATCCATCCTCCCTAAGATGTGTGTCTGGAGGTTCAATTCAATTTTATTTGTATAATGCCAAATCATAATATACATTGTCTCTAGGCACTTTACATAGAAGGTCAAGACCGTAAAATCGTATTTAATATAGAGAAACCCAACAGTTCCCACATGACCACAGCTGCAGGCAACCACCTTTAGAAAACTGAACATGCTGTGGTTTCTCATCATGACACATGCTATGATTGTGTGGCCTGCAAACATCCAGCTCATTTTATCAGTCATGCTTTCACAGGGAGGTTTAATATCTCAGGGGAGGATATGAAACAACATGCAAAGGGAAACATTACTTTTTAATATGCAGTGCACTGCTCACTGGCCCGCTGGTGATCAGCAGCGTCTGTATCTGCTCCTAGACTGTGTAATGTGGTTGTGTTTGTGTGGTCACATTCACACATCCACTGTGAACCTGGTTCAGCTATTTTTACCCTCCCACAGGGATATCATGTGTGGATGACAGTTTGAAACCCTGTAACATCTGGGTAATAACCTCAGAAGTGTGTCATTCCCTCAGCCCTGCAGGCTGCATCTCATCACATCCGCCTTAAAACTCTCGCACATACATTTTTTATTTCTCTTTCTCTGCCCTTTTTTTTTTTCTCTTTCACCACCACTGCTGCCCAAACAGACAGGTTTACATGGACACCAATCTTCTGATATGAACCAGATTCAAATAATAGTCTGAATAAGACACTGCCACGCAAACAGCATCCGAAATTGTTTCTAAATAAATACAAATTGTGTGACGTTTACACACCAACTTGACGTCATTAAAGTCTTTGGAACAGATTTTTCCAGGCAGTTGTTTGAGCTGTTTTCAGGTTTGGATGGACCCAATATGAAAATACCACAAAATCATCCTCCCTGCTCAACTCAACTTTATCTCCTATTATGAATTTTCAGAACAAATAGAATAATTTTCCCATTGTGAATTGTGATAAAGGATTATCTCATCTTATCTTGTAATAAAATGAATCTGACTGCAAGGTTTCTGTGCGTGACAATTAAAAAAACTCAAAGAAAAAATACGGACTTGGTGAAGGCAAAGACCTTTACTCTAACCTTTAAATAATGATGGCTTTATGTCCCTAAGGAAGAAGTCCCAATAATGTGACACACAAACACACACACACTGTCCAAACACCTTTACAAAAACCAACTGATTGAGCTTGATTACCATTAAGACACAAGGTCAGAATACAACAGCAACACATGATAAAAGCGGAGGCTGCAGCAGTCCCACAGCAGCTTCATCAGCACTTCATCACTCGGACAGATGTGCACCTCATTGAAGAGTGATCGGGCAGACGACGGGTGAGGACCAGGGACAAACAGAACACCAGGAACACACACACACGTAAATGATTGCAGCCCCGGTCTCATGACTGGTAGAAAATATCCTACAGCGGTTTTACAGCGTGTTCTAGATGTTATCTTGTGTCTTGGGGATTGATGTTTATGTTTGTATGTTTTTTTTTCAGCCATAAAAAAACACAGACATCTATTAAACCTTTGTGTGGCCTCTCAGGCGTCTGCCTCCCTGAGCTCTTTGGGGCTGTTCTGCAGCTCAACAGGAAAATCTACAGTCACTGTTCAGAGCTGAAGAAACTGATGAACCCTCCCTGCATGTTAAAAGCATCAGCTCCTCCACATGATGATATGTAATTACAGTATTCCCTTTAAAGGACGGTAGCATTGAAAAGTAATTAGCAGATTGCCATCTTTTAAGTGTGTTGAAGTAATAAAGATACAGTTAATTCAGTTTCCTGCAGAGAGTTAGATGAGTAGATTGGCACAAGTCGTGTATTTTCAATCTGTAGTTAGAAATATATGAGAGTGTCAGAGTGTGGGAAGTGATGAAAAAATGTCCTTGTAAAGACTTGAACATTGTCTGAGACGGCTGAGCCATGACAAGAGAAAAACACATTGTCCAGGCACTTTGAAAATGAAAGCACTCAGTCCAGTGCATTCACAGCTGTGCCTCCATTGTTGGTCACATTCACACAGCTCCTTAGTTTTTTAAACACGCATCATCTCTGCTACAGATTTGCCTGCTGTCAACACTACTCTGGAGTTTTAGAGTTGCTAAAATGTATGGAAATGCTACTGGCCCTGTCTAGTTCAAAAAGTCAGGGGCAGAGTTTTAGTCTGGACGGGCAGAAACACAGATGTTTGGAAATAATGCGGCAGAAACACACAACTGCTTGCTGATGCTTTATGGTCACGCTGATTTGACTCCTATCACATGGCCCCTTACTTTGGAAAACAACCACCATTAGCCTTGACAACCAGTATAGAAGACAACATGGATAATCAGTTATGCTGTCCCTGTTGGGCAGTAAAAATGCATTTTAGTTTTAGACATTGCAGCTGCTCGACTGTAGCGTAGCTCTTTCTGCAACAAACAACCAAGTGCATCCTGAATACAAAACGCTCATGTGTACCGAGATCATTTTAGTTGGAAAACACTGTCTTCAAACAAAAACATAGTAAGAAGGATAAAGCTGTAGAGTCACAGCACCGCCTCAGGTCCAAATGACGAGGACATTTCATCTTCAGATTTGGAGCCATTGTGGGCAGATAGTATAAGTTTGACACTTTGAATGAAGCTGTGAGAATACAGACTCATGGATGTCATGAAAAAAGAAGCTGGACCTGTTCGACTCAGAATTCAGGGAGCAGGAAGAGGAATTAGGGCTGACTGAATGGATTCATCAAAGCAGAACTCTAAGCCTGAAAGCTCCACAAAGGCTGTGAGTGGCCCTCGATGCTTCTGGAACACAGGAGCGTAGTAGGTGGAAAAAGGAGGGAAAGGTGGAATATGCCCAGCTGCAGTCACGGATTACGTACTGAACTGTCAATGCTCTGAATAATACCAGTTAATCCATAGTGGGTTTTTTTTAATAGTTGTGTGCCCTTCAGAGAACAAGGTGTACAATAGGTGAGGTCATGTTGAGCCTCTATGGGTGGGAAACTGTCCACCTTTCACTATGATATGCCTTCCAGTACTTTCATACCTTCATCAGTTGTTCTAATCCTTTCCTTCTCCTCTTCCCCTCTTCCTCCCCAGTGAGTACCACCTCTTCACCATGTGCACAGAGAAACAGTCCCACATCGTCCACTGCTACTGGCCCAATCTGGTGGTGGAGAGCTACTTCATCCAGATACACAAGCACTTTTTCTCCAACTGCACCATGAATGGGGCGATTTGGGTGGACCCGCCGGAGGACACGCTCACCGCCCTCATCCTCATCCCTGTGTTCCTCACCATGGCCATGATCGCCCTGGTGGTGTGGTGCAGTAAGAGGAGCGATAACCTGGCCTAGGGGGAAGAGGAGAATGGAGAAGGACTGAGTTCCCGGTCCCATCATCTTTACTGAAACAGCACAGCAAACTGTGCACAATATAGGAGTGCATGTTTGGTCAGTTTGTCAAATGTTCCATAAGTGGCTCTGCAAACCACCACATCCCACAGAAACAAAGAGAGCAGCCCCTGTTTATTTTATAAAACTGGTTTGTGTATTTTTAAAAATATCAATATCAGTTCAGACAAACAATATTGTCTCCTTTCAACTCTGTTTCTATACAACTCAATTGCTTCAACATATTTTGAATACCTGGACTCATGCCTGTGGTTTACACAACAGCACTTTGGTTAAGGTCAGTGAAAGATGGTCGTAAATAAACAGGTTGTATCTGAAGTCAGTGTAAACTTGTTTCTCTGTTAAACCAGACCTGGATCTGTCACTAACCTGAACCAACAGCTGTGAGTCTGCAGGTAGGGTATGGATACCTAACCCAAGCCTGTCGGGACTCAATAGTAAAATGATATTTGATATTGGGCCGGATCATGCTGTGTGGGCTATCTTGATCTAACCAGATTTTTGTGTGCTTGTGATCGGGGACAGGTTCTGACACAAAAAACTCAATGCCTATTGGGTTCAGGTTGCACTTAATTATTTTTTGGGTTTGGACAGAAATGTATCAATCAAAACAATTGTTGTTTTTAGTTGAGTTGTACACAAACTGACATAAAAGAAAATGGATATCACCAGTCTGCTATATATAAGGATAGTACCAACGGAAGTTTAGCTAAGCATAAGCTAAATTGGCTTTGTCCAAAAATCTGCCAACTCGCTGTTTGCCAGCGTGTCATTGACAGAAAAAGCCAAGTGAGCTCTTTATCAGTGTTATCAGTCTATAGCTTTAGCTCGCTGTTTAGCTTGCCATCTAGTCACCTATTGGATCCAGCTACCCTTTTATCACACACACTTAAGTGGTATCAATCTTCTTTTATTTCCAAAAATATCCCACCAATTTTTTTACTTGGGTGTTCTGGTTTACTACATTTCTTAAATGCACTGCATGCTGGGAACTCTCCTTTAAAATGTGGTGAATGTGTCCCACAGAGGATGTTTGTGGTTTGATGTTATTGTCACTCTTTCGGGAACTTGACCAGCAGGACAATTGACCAAATCTTGGGGCATTGGATTTTTCAGCTCATGGATCTGGACCGTGGAGCTCTTGTCAGATTCTTGTCGGAGCACTGTATCATTGTTGAAGGCCAAAGTATCCACCGAGCATCAGAGGCAGCAACTGAAAACTTTTGGACAGAAGACTCTTAGAGGATGCTCGTTAAATATTTGAACATGATACCACATGATGGCGTGGGAGGATGAAAAAGAGACCAAATCTGGACTTAATATTGGTTCTGCGAGTTGGATCTGTCTGTTGAGCCACTGAACAGACTGTTGCCATTGGAAAAGAAAGAAAAAAACCACAGGTGAATAATCCAAAGACAAGGCAACACTATAATTTGTGTATTTTTGGACTTGATTTTCACGTGTGACTACCTGAGCCCCAGTAGACTGTTGTATAGTTCAGTGTAACTTATCACATACTGTTGAATAAATCACTGTTAATACTCACAAAGAGGGGTTCTCAGTGGAAACAAAGTAACTATGAGATGACATTGAGACCTCATTCTGTACAGTCATACTCTGTCCGTGCTGTTTACTGTATCTGCACTGCCTCTTCAAAGTTCCTCAGAATGGAATTGAACTTATCGTGCACACTTTTGTGGTTAATTCTCTGGTCCACAGTCCTCACCCGGCAAAGCCAAACCTAGCACAGATTTTCCATGTTCTTGCACAGCGTCAGACGTCGGTATGTGTTAGCCAGCTCTCACATCATCTGCTGTCTGTAGAAGCAGGAACTCCTCACTGAAACTGATTAAATACCAAGTCTCTCTTAACATTGTTTCTCTCCATCTTTACATGAAGAAAGCAAACACTCACAGACAGTTTTGTGATGCAGTGTATCTGAGCTGAACTCCTCATGAATGTTTTAGCAAAGCGACAGACATGTGTTGTCTGCTGCCTCCTGTTTCTCTGATCCAGAGTCTGTGTTTCGCAGGGTTTTCCTCAGGAAAGTGGGGAGCAGTAAGACTCTCACCATATGATCACTCCCCAATGTGATAGAGATTTTCCATTACCATTTTTCCCTTCCCATATCTGGACTTTGCGTATTGGCATTCTGTATTATATTTCTATTTGTTAAAAAGACACTTAATAACATAACGTGTGTCATAAACAATTAAAGTAATGGAAGTGTAAATTACAGGAATCAAGCAGAGCACCAACTCTAACCCTGGAATAATGTAAAGCATCTAAAGCATGAACTACATCTTCCCTTTACTTTTCCAATTCTCTGAGTCTTCAGTAGCATGTTTTATTTTAATGGACTTACAAACAGGAGCTTCAGTCCAGACCAGGGGTCATGAGGTGCATCAACAATGATTCAAAACCCTAAAGGCAATTAAAACAAATGCTCATATGTGCCAAGATTCATCACAAGGCCTTTAGGTGTTTCCACTCAACAGACAAACCCGCCCACCTGAGCGTTCCCTGCTAAGAAACCAGGCCTCCCTGTTGAACTCCATTACATTCTGTCATCTGAGAAGTGTGGAGATGTCTGTGTGTTTGACTTTGTGTGTGTGTTAGTGAGCATTCATCACTGTCTAAAGGAAACGCAACCATTCCCGGCTCACATCATCACATCCTGATGGATCATTTTATCATCTGCTCACTCAGTTATTTACTGTAGATAATATTTCCGGTCACAAATAAAAAACTCAAATCAAAGACAGACCTGTCCCGGTTTGCTTTTTCCTTCATGCAGTTTGCTCGAGAACAGACAACATGACAGAAGCTGCTGACACATGCGGCCTCTCATCTTCCTGATCTGCCTCGTTCCAAAGGAGCGTGAAATTAAGTTTCTATTAAGTTATATATATTTACCTTCTACTGCAGCAACATAACCAGAAGTTCAGTTTGCAGCTGCTCACTTTTAATGGCAAATAAACATTTAAAAAGACTGTGAGGCAACAGTATGAAAGGTGAAGTGTCACATTCAGAGATTTGTTTATATCATCTGATGGGGCATGTTGGATGAGCTGCATTCACTTATCGTCTCATTAACATCAGAGATCACTGTATCAAAATGAAGCTAAAATATCCCAGATATGGGTGCCACTATCTTTGTGCTTCTGAAGCCATTTGGAGCCAGTCTGCAAAACTGCTGTCGTGATGTTGCAGCCAGCCACCAGGGTGCAATCGTGACATTTTGGCTTCACTTTTAAGAAGCTGTCATGTAGTCCATCTTTTCAGACGGTCTAGGATGAGACAAATATCCTGAGTCACTTGTATTGTACTGTGTATTGTGCCATTTGGCTTCTTTACTTGATTCATTCTTTTATTTACATTGTGTCAGTTTCAAACTTTATCTTTTCCTTTGTTTTAGATGGCAGAGAGCAGAGTGTGTTTATGACTTCTGTTACCCTGTAGATAACATTTTTCAGACACACACACACACACACAGATCTGAATCCCTGGGAGAGTTGTCTCCCTGGGAGTTTGTCTGTTGCATGCATTCAAACCCACAGTATTCTTTCATAAAGACAAACAACATTATCTCGACTGATACAAACAGACACACAACTGAATCTTTGACAGATTTGCTTTGTGTCTGTATAAACGTTCAAAACAATACAATAAAAACCCGACCACGCATTTTTGAATCTTATCGTTGTATCATGTAAATACACTCAGAGTCAAACAATGCTGTCATCACTGTCACTGGGTGATGGTGCCTCATGTTGACACTGTGATCTGAGTCTGATCTTCCACAGGCGGCACTGCGAAGCTGGAAACGACAAACTCTGCTGCCACAGAACAATCACAGCATCATTACTGCCTCCACCTAAACAAACAAATGGGAATATATCAGGCTGTATTTATTCCATCTGTAAGTGTCCAGGAAGCCACACAAGTTTGTCTTTCTTCTGAGAGGCAAAACAAGGAGACACAAACAGAGGAGACAATAGTTCACTCTGCAGTGAGAGCTACACGTCGCAGGGCCGTTGCCCTCAAGAATGGCTTTTCTCTGCGCCTGGGTCATGGAGGCAGGAAGGATATTAAAGCTTTTTCCCAGAGTTGACAGAAGAATACAGGGAAGTAGGTTGACCCGGCGGTTTTGACCAAAAGTAGTGCAGGAAGTGCAAGAGTGCCATGCTTCCAGGCAGAGCATGCACTGCTATGATGGCTGAACTGCTGGTAAAGCACAGCGCTCTGTGGCTCAGCTGAGGCTGGAGTCTGTTTCTACCACTGTGTCACAAAGCATTAGGATATTAAAGCAACAATATTTGACATTAATGTTCTTTAATGACAGGGATGTCGAACTACATGTGAATGAGGACACACACAGTGCAATCAGCTGTTGGAGTGACAACCTGCAGATTGTTGGTCCTCTGTGGCTGCTTGTCCCTGCTCTGTAAAATGTGGCTGTAATCCTCCAGACATACATAACTCTGATGCTGATACGCACAAAACAGGTTTCAGGTATAGTTCTTATCAAACTGATTTATATCCAATGCTCACCTTCCTGGAGTTTGGTTTCAGTTACTTAATGGATGGTATAGTAAATGAGGTGAAACCTGAGTACACCCCAGCTCCATCCCCATATAACTACTGTGCAGACTCTGGCTCCGAATGACAACGCCAAATGGCAGCTTTCGTATTGAAGGATATTTGGGCTTCTTTTCAGGAAAGTGGGAGGAATTGGACGTGCCTTGTCCATCTCTATATACAGCAGCCTATGGTGCTGACACACAGAAGCAGGTGGATGTACACACACACCACAGTGCACAGATCTGTATCAATTACAAGGTGCAGCATATCCAAGGATCAAGAATATATTTATTGTCTCCATGAGGATATTTGTAGCACACAGCAATATCCACACAGACCTCAGCTGAACACAAAATATGGACGATAAATATATTAGAAAAGATATAAAATAAATTGAAAAAGCACAATAACACACAAATCTGCAGGGTCTCAATTACAGTTCTTCCCCACTAACATTATAACAGCGCAATGTTAGTGAGGGAGCAGAGGAAGGTGAGCCTGCACATTTAGGCTCTGACTCGTCTTGTTACAACCAAACTATGTTCTCCGTCTTCGTCAAGATGATGAATGATGATGCCTCTGGTACTGTACAGGCTCATTAATGCGCAGTTTGGGCATGAATACATGAGTGAAATAAAAACAAAGTGAAGAGTTTTAATGCTCAGCTGAGAAGTAAAAGTTGCTGAAGGGATGAATTCCAAAAATGGAATAGGATGAATGAGGTCTGATGCACAACATCGTCTTCCCAGTTTCAAAGTATTTCCTGCACTGCTGTCTTGATGCTAACACACGCACACACACACACACAC